TTATTACAAATCAGTGGGCTAATTATGCCATCCATAATAAATTACTGTTTGTGCGAACACAGGATACATTCTAATTTATTATTTTAATCAAAATTACGAGCATTTTAGATTAATCATTATCATGGTCAATACTTATCACTAATCACACAAGAACAATCTCATTTTCATCATCACATCTGAAATTTTTTTTTTTTTTTACTTTTGTGATGACACAGGATAATTCATCATTTAATTTTATATATTAGGTTTTATGTTTAGAATAGATAGTTTGTAAATTGCTTCCCTCTGTCAAATTCATTGTACAGTAAGTGACATCAGCCGAGTGAATAAAAGCTAACCGAACATTACTACGGTTGATCATGAGACGACGAGGATGCCTTGTGATCCTTAACGATCGACATTTCATTTTTAATTCCAAATTAAACCGTGTGGCGTAATGCATTGCCAAATTACGTAGGACAAACATATTATTATCCAGAATGAGGTAACCGAGATTCCAGAAGCATAAATCGAGTACATCGCGATCTAAGCCATCTCCTACAAACATCTTTTCGAGCACAACGCAGACACAACTTCTAGAAAGGTGAGGTGACCGGTTATACAGCATGAGTTTTATTGTTGATGTGTAGCACCATCGGATTGAGGAAAATTCTCATGGCATTCTTATAAATTGCTCGGATCATCTTCTCACCAGCTTCTCTATTTTTACGTCCGACTTACGAATAATGAGAGAACACATCGTCAAAGCCATTGAACAATATATCGACAAACATTATGATAGAATTCGAGAACACGTTGATAGGAACTTGGAAAAACTTAAGGAAGTTGTTGTTGAAAAACTTCCCGACCACGTTTTGGAATTTATCAAGAAGCATGCTGACGATGGTGATGGTCATGAAACCATGATGGAAAGCATATTTCAAGTTATGTCAAGCATGGCCGACCAATTAACCGATGATTACAAGGAGGACCTTCGCATTGTCACCAGGGAACACCTTGATGAGGTTACGGTCGATTCGACGGATCACTTGACTGGCGTGGTGGTGGATGAATCAAAGAAAGCTGTCAGGGAAGTCACGAGCAAAGACGATGATGGTGAGTCTTGGTGGAAAAATATCGACCTGTCATTCTTGAAGGGAGGTAAAGATGGAATAATCGCAAAGATCTTGGAACTCATTAGACATCCAATTCACCATGCGAGTGGTGACATTAACAAGTCGATTAGTCAGAGGGTGCCCGATAAGGCCAAATCCAAATTATATGAAAAATTTGGTTTGAAAGTCGAAAAAAAAGTTGAATATGAGGTTCAAGAAGAAGTTCATGACCGTGGAATTTCAAAAAAGCATCACTTCACCAAGGTTCTCGGTACAATCATGGGTGGAGAGGAAGGCGGTAGCGGTGGCGGTGGCGGCGGCATGCGTAAAAGCTTCATAGACAAAATTTTCGAGAAAATCCCTGAAAAGATTGAGACGGTATTGATTCCACACTTTCAAGAGTTTGAAGAAAAGTTGATGGAGCATTTGAAAATCGAAATGCACGAAAACATATTCAAGGATGATAACTTCTTGCATGGAATGAAAGGCTTGATCGGTAAATTTGGTGATAAGGATGGTGATGGTAAAAATGACTTCATCGAAGGAGTCTCTAATGCCATGGAATCGTTTTTCCATAAGAAAAAGAAATAACGACTGGGTATCCTTAATTTATGTGTGTATTTGTATTCATTGAACAAAATGTGCTCCTAAAAGACTAAAATATTGAATGTAAATTTGTTATGTAACCGAATATATAAAAAATTTTTAAGCGATTCTTTATTGTATATTATCAAAGTGTAAACAATGATACAAATGTATTATTCAAAAAAGAAAATCAAAGGAACAACTATTCTGTTTGTTATCGGAGGCCTGGTAAGCCAATTTCCCTTTTAAATATTAATTAAAGGGTTAGTAATTTACCATTGATGTTATGAATTATGAATTATTGTTGGCAATGTAATTTTGAAATTATAATAACAAAAATACATAATGAATGCTAGCTAATTTATATTAACAACAACTGTATATAAAATTATTTCAAATTATTATTATTATTATTATATGATATATAACAGGGTATACTGTATATCAAAGATAATAAATAATTTTGTCTTGGATGAGAAGCATATAATAATTGAAATGCCAATCTACAGTATTTACGATATTAAACTAAATTTCATTAAACGACTTTTTTATTTATTTAAAATAAGTCAAAATAATTATAAAAAAAAACAATAATTATAATAATCTTGTTATAAAATTCTTGAAAATGAAAATAATATTTATTAGAAATTCTTCTTTCCAAAATATTTCATTTTTTTAAATTTTGTTATTTATCAATGTAATCTTTGTTAACAAAATATTTTGAATATTATTAAATTTATTTATATCATTATAATGATAATGATAATGATGATTTCAAATAATTTAAATAAATTTGATTTTTGTTACAAGAAAATATTAATTGATTAATTAAAGAAATAAATGATAATTTTTTTTTTTAAATGGAAGATAAAATTTTTATTGAAAAACCAAATTTAATATTATATGTTTATTATTGAAATATAAAACCATATTAATCTATTAATGAAATTTTATCAATTTTTTTATCAATTCAAAAAATAACCATTTTAAAAAAATTTATATTTTTTGATAATAGAATTTATATACTTTTCTTAATAACATTATTATTTAAAACTTTGGTATTCCTATATTTGTTTTTTTTTTAAAAAAAAATAGACTATATATTTTTGTAAATAAATATATATATATATCTACTTACAAAAGACCTGTGAGTCAATAATATAATAAATAATGCTCCCAGATCACCAAATGTATATCTCTAATTCAATATTCACAAGAGACAAAAAACAAATTTATTTTTATATATAAGTTTATTGAATATTTTGTATATGCTATATTCAATAATCCTTAATCACATTCAAATATAGTTAAGTTGCATTAAGATAAAACCTTTGGTTTTCTTGACAATTGTAAGCTAAAAACAGGTCAAAATATAAAAGGTGCACAAAAAAAGCTTCTAATCTAACTTTGATAAAAAGCTTATAAAACTTTAATTCAAACTAATAATGATAGATTTTATCACACAATTCAAAAAAGTTAATTCTAAAATAATCTATTTCAATATGAAGCTTATAGGTCTATTCCAATTATAATGTTTTATAAAACTTAATTATATGATTAAAGAATAAGATATTAATTACAAGTAATAAGAATCTAAACAAAAATTATTAAGCCAGATACATTTAGTGAGGATTATATAATATTAAATAAAAATCTAAGTAAGAATGCTAGTTTTATAGGTAGTAAAAACAGTAGTACTATATTATGCTAGTAGCAATTCTGAAAATTGATAATAACAAGTAATTAATATAACTAGAATTAATATTTATAATAATATTTCCTATGATCTTTTTTAAATAAGCAATCAAAAAATATAATTGAATTAATAGAAAAATAAATTTAAACTAGTGATAGGATTTTCTTTTCTGTATAAGTTTTATCTAAATATAGACTTATCTTTAAGATATAAGTTAATTAATCAAGATAATTGAGTTGACACAAGGAAAAATCAATAGTATTGAAAACAATATTTATTAAATAACATTAATTTATATCTAGAATAACAATAGTTTAGCTTGTAAAAATGTTTGATATAATGGTAGAATATTAAATTATTAATAAAAACCTTGCATTTAATACTTTTAACATATTAAAAAATAATAATAATTATTATTATTATTATAAAAACTATTTAATTAATAATATTTTATTTTCTAGTATTATTATTAATAATAAAATTAAATAACTCTTTTTATTGATTTTTTGTCAATTCAAAAAACAAATATTTCAAAAAAAAATTATATTTTTTTGTAATAAAGTCTATATACTTTTTTTTATAATATTATTATTTAGAGACTTTGATTTTTTTTTGAAATAAACTTCTTGTATTTTTATAAATAAATGTATAAAAAAATTATTTACAAAGTTAAAAGTAAAAATATTTTATTAAAAAAAAAACTTGTAAAAAAACATATTTCTTTTTTTCTCCAAAGATTTAAAACTTAAGAAGATAGCTACAAATTTTTGAAACTCTTTTTTATTTTTTCTAAACTCTTTTTTTATTTTTTTAAATACATAAACTTCTTTCTAATTTTTTTGAAAAATTTTCCTATTTCAGTTTGATATTAAATTTTTAATTATATTAAAATTTTTAAATAATAATTTAAATAATAATTTAAATTAATTAAATATTATATAATAAAAAATATAAACAAAAAAATATAAAACAAAAAAACTTTTTCTACTAATCCTCTTGCCAACCTAAAAATAGACATTCTAGAGAAATTTTATATTTTTCTATAACAAAGTCTATATACTTTCTTTAATAACATTACTATTAAAAGACTCCAGTTTTCTTTACTTGTTTCTTTTCCTCTTTAATATAAACTTTTTATATTTCTATAAATAAATATAAGAAAAATCTATTTATAAAGTCAAAAATAAGAACACTTTATTAAAAAAAAAAACTTGTAAAAAAAACTATTTCCCCTTTTCTCCAGAAGTTCAAGACTTCAAAGAAGATTATTATTAACTTTTGAAACTATTCTTTTATCTTTCTCAAGTTACTCTTTTATCTTCTCAAGTATATATACTTTTTTCTGATTTGTTAAAAGAATTTTATCTATTTCAGTTAGACCTTGAATTTTTGGTTATACTGGAATCCTTGAATGATAATTGGCTTGAAATTTGAATTAGTTAATTTGTATGTAACAAGAAATGTAAACAAAACACATAAATCTCACATATTCCATCTTGTACAACTTATATCCAATAATATAATTGGTGATAGTAGAAAAAGCAAGGTAACAAGACATACTTTTTGATAAAAGAAATGGTTTGATGCTTTCTTTTTCCCTTTTTGACTAGTTTTGTTTCTCTTCAAGATTAAAGAAAGATCTTATTCTAATCCAGTAATAAGCTAGCTCTATTGTTAATTATCCTAAAAATAGTTGAAGAAAAGGGTCTCAAAACTATTCATTAATTAAATAAAACTATAAATCCTTGAAGATTTGGCAGGAAAAAAAATCGCCAATTGAAATATTAATCTTCTTTAAAGATTAGAAGTCTTTGAGTATAAAGTTTCAAGAAATACTTTCTTGAAAGTGTCCTTAAATGTTCTTGGTCAACAATGAAATAGTAAAAATTAAATGGTTCTCCAGCTACAGGTGGTTAGATTAGATAGTAATCAAGAAAAGTTTTTGTTTTACCAGTGCAAGTCTTTCCTTTTCTTTTTTTCTTTTTACTTTTAATTTCTTAAAAAATAAAAATTTTTAACTCTTAAAATTACAGGTTCATATTGAAGTAACAGTCTAAATATAAGCTGGTGTTGATCTTTCAAAATATAGACTTCTGATATCTTGTCTTGAAAAAAAGCAATATTATTATTTTCTATTATCACATCTAGAAAGTTCAGATTTAAACTTATTGATAAGTGTTCTGCAAAATTGTACTAGTTTAGCTTTAGTATAATATTATATATATATTGTATTACTGTTTTTCAAATTGAATTAATAAAATGTTTTTATTTATTGTCTGATTAAAGGCTTAAAAAAAAAATAAATAAATAAATAAATATAATTATTATATAATTTAATTTGATTTGATTTGATTTTTTTTAATTGGTCAAGGACATTAGATACAAGATTTTTATTGATAATAAATATCATTACTATTATATCAAACATTTTTACAAGCTAAACTATTGCTATTTTAAATATGAATTAATGATACCTAATAAATAATATTTTCAATACTACTGATTTCTTTTAAGCCAATCCAATTACTTTAATTAGCCAATTTTATATTATGTAAATGAATCTATATCCAAGTAGAACTTATACAAAGGAAAAAAATTCTTTTTTTTTTTTTACTGCGAATAAGCATAAAATGCGAGACTTTATTTACTAATTGATAGTACTGTCATTACATTAAG